GTGAATACAATGGAACTTTAGAATATGTAATACAAGCTGCTTTTAAAATGTTCTTGAAGATTTTTTCCTCTCTATAAAATCTAGGCAACTTTTAATACTTTTAAAAATCCAAGCTTTTAATAAATTGAGTTACTTATAAATTCAATACTATGTTGTAGAAAATAAGTTTAGAAACTTTAATAAAAGATTTGCCAGAAACACATACAAAAATCTTTCCAGAATTACAGAATAATACTTTCAAAATAAAGAACAGTCATTTTTGCAGCACATATGCTCCTAAATATTTCATTTGAGCCAACTTGATTAAGTGTATGCTTATTCTGCCTATCAACGGATATAGTTTTGTCAAGTGTTTGCCAGTGCTCCTCAGTTTTCGTCTTCCACATTTAAAAGAAAGAAAGAAAAGAAAAAATGCAGAGGAATGGAGATGCTGCAATAAACATTATGACTTCTGTTTGAATTCTTCTGTGTTACAATCCTTAATTTAATACATACATGAAATGTTTCCTCATTCTTAAATCTCTACCAGTCATAGAATAAAGAATATGACACAGATTTTCATTATTTCTATTTTAATATAGATGCAAAAATGAAATTTCTCTCTATAATTCTCAGTTCCTCTAAGTGTTAACTTTACAGCTCACTACAGACAAGAACTACGTAATTCTGTAAGCAGCTTTCCTTAAGACATGCAAAAATATTCCTAATTTTTTTCTACCAACGAGGCACCCCAGTTGCCTCTCAATATCTTTCTATGAATAAAATGTTTTCCCTTTGATATTACATAAGTCACTCAATGCACGTGTTTTACATAAGTATTTATGCATTTTATTCAAATATCAAATTACATTCTCACACTTCAAATGGGGTGTCACAAGTTCTTTTATTGCACCAGAACTTCACCATATCACATATTGCTCCAAAAAGTAGACAATTTCTAAAAACAGCTGAAATTCTCTATGGAAGTTATCCTTAACTAAATAGTGTATCCGGTAACAGAAATTTTATAATTACCGTTTAACAGTTCAAATTTCAAACACAGCACCCTACTGCCAGCCATTATGCCTCAACTAGTTCACTACTGTCATTACTAGGTGAAACTTAAGTATTGCCTTTGTTTATAAAGACATGTGGTTTAAAACTAACTGCTAAAAAATTTTTTTTAAAGTATTAGGTGAAATAAAATGAAAAAATGTGAAAGATGTCTAAATTGTGAAAAATTCAGTTTTAAAACTCTGTGAAAGAGCTAGAATACTTGCTTTAGTAAGAGGAGTCACATCATCATTATTTCCAAAACCTCAAAATATCAAAGATATTTTAACGACATCTTAGCAAACATACAGGAAAATAATATTCCAGAAGCAAATTGCATTTGACTACGTTTATACATATTCTTTCTTAATCTCACTAATTACTTGGTGACAACAAGAGAATATCTGTATAAATAGTTCAACAAAAGAATAAAAATTTTAATGTTTCCAATGTAAAGGTTAGATTACCTCTCTAAATTACACACACACACATACATATATATATATATATTTTTTAAATGATCCTGGAAATGAGGGTCAATTAAAACTTCCTTCTTTATTCCTGAAGAACAAGTTTCTAAATGCACTGGTGTATACAAATATTTGGTTTGATCCTCTTAACTCCTTATATATTACATACTGCATCTCCATTTTACAACTTAGGAAACAAATGCAAACAGGTGAATCGCCAAGGTCACAAAGCTAGGAAATGAGGAAGCATTGGTTGGGACCTAGGTTTTATGACTCTAAACTACATGATCATCCTATACACTGATCAACATGGGTTAAAAAATATGACAGTGGCAAAGTGAAATAAACTTCAAATACTGTAACCGGCAATCTAAAGACAAATCTAGAGGTTGTAGACTTCTATTTTAATTTAAAACCATTCCATTTCATTTAATTTATGCACCAGGCTTTATGCCCTTGATAGCCTAAATACTCCTCTCCTGATTTCTTTAGTTATTAAGCAATACATCCTGGAAGGCAAAACTCAAAATAATTAGACAAACTTAAAAAAACAAAAACACATGCCAGGATCAATCAAAACAAATTTTCCTTTTATTTGTTTCACTGTCAAAATATTCATGCTTTGATCCATTTAGCTGCCTTGATAACTGGAATCAAGGTTAATTCCTCCTCAAACCTTTTGACAAAATCCACACTCGGGTACTTTTCCTTAGTCCGTATTAAATCCTTAGTTTTCCTCAGTTTCATTTCTGACTCCCTCATTCTACCATCTAAATAGCCAGCCCCTTTGTTATGAAGTGTTTGATCAGAGAAATCTTGCTTTGTTATTCAAGTTATGAAAACCAATAACTTTCACCTAAATTGTGAATTAATACAGTGCTGATCAGACTGGCAAAGGAGTAAATCTAACAGTTAGAAATCAAGGAAAATACCATCTAAATTAAAGTGACCTAAATGAGATGAGATGTAGTCTCTTTTCCAGAAATAGTGCATCCACGTTCTCACCCTACCTAATTATGACGCATGTATTACCAAAGAAATACATGAAAATGAACAGAGGGCACACCACCACCCAACATACTTGTAGTCAACTGAGGACCTCTAGTGCTTTTTAAACTGTATTCCACCTTCGGGACTTTCAAACAAACAAACCAAAATAAAAAGGTTAATCAGTTCACTCACAATACTGGGGGCATATGTAGTAAATGGCATTACTTTTCTTAAACATTTCTCAATACCCCTCCCCCACATCTTCTTCCAAAAAAAGAAAGTTAAAGTCTAACTATAGGAGCCCTGGTGGTGCAGTGGTTAAAGCAATCGACTGCTAACCAAAAGGTTGGAAGTTTAAAACCACCAGCAGCTAGCTCCGCAGGAGAAACATTTGACAGTCTGCTTCCATAGAGATTTACAGTCTTGGAAAACCTATGGGGTCACTATGAGTCTGAATCGACTCGATGACGGGTTTTTTTTTTTTTTTTTTGTGATAGAGTTAAGAAGCCTATCTTAATTGAAAATAAATTGATTTTTAAATCATGGCCTCAGTATTTAACAGAAATAAACAGATAATGAAGACAAGCCTACAGACAAAATAGCGACAGCAACGTGCCAATTTCAGAGAGAAAATCTCTCTGTGCTGTTGTTTAATGAATTCTCAAGGCTGAGCTTTAAGGTGAGGAAAACGTTTCATTATGGGGTCAAGAATATACATTTATAAAATTCTTTTAGTCACTAGGCAGCAGCAGCTTAAAGATTCTTTCAAGTAGCCAGTCTGGACCAACAAAGCTCTGAAACGTTGTGCCACAAAGCAATTTTAAATAGAACTTACAAGTTTAGTACTGGGCAGTCTCAAACAGGAATTTGGATGCCACAGACTGATGATAAATCTAACAAAGGACTTCCCTGAGTTAATTCAGTAAGTTAAAACAAAAAAAAAAAGATTCATACACAAGCACTTCTGGTTTATCTGTAGAAACGACAGAGGACAGTAGCAAAATATAAAACCCCGAAATAATACTAACACAGATGGATCCTGTGTATTTAAACTCAATTTAGATAATTTTAATCTTTTGAACCAATTAAACGGGAGGGAGGGGCAATCTAAAAATACATCTGTCAGACTTGGTCTATGATATGTGTTACTTTAATTCACTAGCCAATATATGCCCAGATTTACTAAAAGAACAAATAAGCAAACAAGAATAAAGGGGAGCAAAAGGGAGAGAAGTAAAATTCTGAATTCCACAAATATAGACAAGGAATCTCAGGAATTTCTAATTTCAGCGGAGTACACCAAACCTGGAGTTCAGAAAGTTCTGCAAAGCACTGCAAGTGCTTAAATAATAGGTGGGGATTACGCTCAGCATAATCCTACATCATTAGAACTTCATTATCTAGCGAGTCACAGAACAGGCCACAAAAAGCTTTCGAGAGTCTGAGATTCCTTTTGCACAAGAATGCATCTGATTTTATGTTGAAGAAATAAGATTCACTGCAGACAAAGTGAGGACTTCTACAGAACCTGATATAGTACCTTCAACCCAAAATGTTGCCTAATATGGCATATGACATTTCCTGAAGGGTTGGAGTTGCCTGTGGTTTGTCTCTTTCCTTCTTCTACCTCAAAAAAACAGAATATTTTGAAGTTGACTTTGTTACTTCTCAATTTCACCTTCTTTGAGCAAGAAACGAAGAGGGCAACCAAAGGCTTTACAAATCCTACAAAAAGAATAGTAAAGAATTAGCCAGAGTCTTCCCACCCCTCCAAAAATGAGGATAATCTTGGATCCCATATACAAAGACACTTCGTAAGGTAGCTTTCTGCCTCTTACTTGCAGCTCAAGAGACAGAGGACTTGGCATTTCTACCACCAAATTCCTAGACAGTATCTTTCATATTTTTTGTGTTCTGATTCTAGAGCCTGGATGATTAATCTTTACAGTGTCTTTATTCCTCTTGTTCCAAAATACCTACCTTACACGAATTGTCATCCTTTTAAAAAAAAAAGTCAATTTCACTCTCCATGGCTGTTTATGCCAATGCAAGGTTTGAACATCCCAACACGACCTATTTATGATTATCCTAACACAATGCTCTTCAAATGTCAGATGAAATTATATAAAAATAAGCTGTTTATTTTTCTAGGCTCTCCATCAAATATTACTCTATTAATAAGCTTGGATCTAAGAAACACGAAACAAAAACAAAAACACACTGCAATAGTTCTAAACTCACAGTGTGATTGTCAGTACAGAGAAAAGAATAATAAACACCTGACCACCATGCCATAAATTATGATGTAGTGAATTGAAGGTCACAGACAACTCCCAAAATAGGATTGTGCTGTTTCCACACACAGCTTTTCAATTCTTAGCACATGATAGGAAACTCCATCTCTATGGGTGAAATCTGATTTAATTGTTACCATAGAGACTTTGGATGTTCAGCAGTTAGGATTCAACACATTTCAGATTGTACCACTATAAAATAAATAAAATAAACTGAGCCCAATAAATTCAATGCATACAGCTACATCTCAGTATGTAACCCACACTTTTTTCAATTTTAACAAAATTATAAAGAAATACTACACATCACTTTAGAATTACGACATATTTCAAAGTTTGACAAAAACCCACTGACTCATAGCAACCCTATAGGACACAGTAGAACTGTCCCATAGAATTCCCAAGGCTGTAATCTTTATGGAAGCAGACTGCCACACTTTCTCCTACAGAGCGGCGGGGGATCGAACCACCAATCTTTTGTCTCGTAGCCAAGTGCTTTAACCACAGCGCCACCAGGGCTCTAAAGTTTGACAAGAAACAGCATATCATACTCCCAACAGTAGAGAGTTCATCTCTTTAGGGCACACTTCTTTGTGTCTCTCAAACACCAAATGCTCCTATGTACAAACCTTAGTTACATACAGTGCAGGTTAAGGATGTGTTAATCAGGAGAGCATGAATTTAGGTAAATCCTCTAAGCCTCATTTTGCTCATCTGTGACAGAAAGAGATTTGAGAGCAGTAGAGATTATCTGCTCAGCTATCAGATTCTGTTATTCTAACTGGTTAATCCGTCAAAAACAGCACTATCTTTGATCATTAACAATTTTCTAAAAATTTTACAGTAATCATAAAAATCTCTTATTTGACTTTCTTGATTTATTTATTCAAATAGTACTAATTATGCACTAGGTACTAAGGTACACAATGAAGACGTGGTTCCTTATATTCATAAACTAGAAGCCTAACTGGGGATACAAACATGTAAATTGAAATTACAGCACAACCTAACTTTAAGTATCCTGATAACAGGTAACACCAAAGCTCTATGGGAAACCTAGCAGAAGGGATAGCCACTTCTGTCTTAATGAGTAATGCAAGATTTCACTGAAGAAGTCATATTTAAACTGGGCGTTAAGGATGAACTGGAGTTTGCCAGGTGAAGAATCAACAGTGGAGGGAAGGGGGGAGGGGCATTCCAGGCAGTCAGAACAACAAGTGCAAAGGACAGAGTCATAAAAGGGAATGAGGTATTTATGGAAAGGTGACATGTTTCGTGTAACTGAAGTACCACTCATCAGCATCAGGATAGGAATGAGCTTTGTATATGCTTCATGACTAACTCCTGGCCAGCTTCCTCCTTTTCCATGTTTATCTAAGTAAGTTTTATCTTAATATAATTTTGTCTTTTCATTCAGATCGTTCAGACCACTGAAGTCCTCAAACTTCACAAAAATCTAAGTTCAAACAGGAATTACCAATGCTAATTCTTATTCCTTCCCTAACCGTATTGTTATAAATCCTTGTATAAAGCTACTAGTCAAACATATGAAGAAATAAATATTCCCACAATTCCTCAATAATACAAGTTCACTATACAATAAATATAAGCAGAAGTAGTAACTTAAAGGGTATTATTTTCTTAAACAAAAAAGACTCCTTTATTTTTTACACTATTTTAGCCAAAGAATTCAAACAGAAGTAATTAGAGATACGTATCAAGTTTAAGTCGCTATTTTCTGAGTAGAAAATATTATAAACAACAGCCCTCAGGATTCGAAAACTCGGTTTGCAAACAGCCACTTGTGTTGGAAATGAAGAATATATGCTAGAGAAAACAGGTTGTTATCAACTCCTTAAGAGACTGAAGTTTGATACATGTTGGCTGTTCGAACTCCTTACTACAGATTAATACTATGAAGACGGTTAGAGTCTCAAGTCAAATGAAAATCCAGTCTATACATAATTCAAAATATAATACAGCCAAGTTGAAGTACTAAAACTACAAAATCTAATTGCCATACAGAACATGGTTTCTTTTTAAAACTAAATGCTAAATACTAATTGGTCATGCCTGATATATAAACCTTCCCTTCTCCCGTTCTTTCAGTACTCCCCTCTGCTCTCTTTAGCATTAGTCTAACTTTCTCAGGAACAGGGCTAACAGGTTGAGGTGGGCTTTCGTTTGAGACATAACAGACTAGGGAGAAAATAAAGTAGCAGTACCTGGCAGCTGCAGTAAGGTAATAATATCTTGAGTAACAATGATGTTTTGCCAAATGTTAACAGCCATTACCTCTGCGTAGTTAATTATAGTTACTTTTTATTCCATTTCTAAATTTTCTGATTTCAAAACTGATATAGTTTTGATTGACAATAGAATATCCCCAAACGTTTAATAGTCATTATGTTTGAGCAGTTATAGTTTTTAGTTTATATCTAATTTTTCTATACAGACATGTTGTTTTAAGTTTTTGTTTTATTTATTAACAAGGCTTAGGCCCCACAGGCAGCACCAGCTTGCGGGAGCTCTGAAGGAAGGCAAGACGAAAGCCACTGCTCTTATATACAGGTCACTTATAAGTAGGAATCGTCTGTGGTACACAGTGAGAGGATGATAATATCATTATTACGCCTTCTGAGCTTGACAGTCTCCCACTCAATATCAAGTCTCGCTAAAATGTCATTAAAAAAGTAACATTTTCTATAAAGCTATTAAATCATAAAAAGAAACCACAAATAATTTGAATCTATATTTACTCGTTTCGTTCTGTTGTACATGGGGTTGCTACGCATCGGAATTGACTCAACGGCACCTAACAACAACAACATATTTCTGATAAAACTTCTGATTTTAACTTTTACTTTGGATTAAAATCAACATCCTGGAGAATAATTTGTTATTTTTTTAATGAGATTTGCTCTGGAGCTACTAATACACTAAATGTTGACACTAATTACCTTCACAGAGAAATAGTCTTAATGAAACTGTAAGTAAGAACCTCTGCCCAAGGGAACAGACCAAAACAAGTGGCACTCTAAACCAAACTGTACTGAAGTTACTACATCCCAAGTACCAGAGAATCGAGTGTCGTGGTAACCCCTCCCCCGCAAAAGGCACTGAGACAGACAGTCCCATGCATACGCATACGCATACACACACACACACACACAGACACAGACACACACATTTGATGTTATAAATACAAACCATTTTGAGGAAGATGAATTAACACAGAATTGTGTTTTACCTATTCAGAGAATAGGTTATGCATACGATCTTCATCAGTTTACTACTTTTATATTCCAGGCTACCTAAAAGAAGACAGTGATCTCACACTTGACTGGCAGTTTTTCCTTCTTTCTGTTGGCCTTTTAAAACTTAAGACTTCCTGCCTTCCAGTGTCATGGAGAAAGTCCAACACCTCACTCGCTCTGCTATAAGAAGAGCCTCCACCATTGAAGTGCCTCAACAAGCACGTCAAAATCTCCAGAAACTATTCGTCAATTTCTGTCTCATCTTAATATGTCTCTTGCTGATCTGCATCATCGTGATGCTTCTCTGAAGTTCTGCTGCAACCTCCAGTTCTAGAATTTACCACATCAGCTTAAAAATCCGTCATCCCATGAAGAAGGGAAAACAATACTGTATAACAGACTGCTTCCTGAGTAGAATTTCTTTGTAAGAAGGTCAAGATTTCAGACCAAAACAAATTGTCAGCAAATTTATTCACCTGCTGGATCTTGTAAACATGATCAGTGCTTTATTCTCAAAAACTAACTTTAAAGTGACTATAAGTGTGCATAATGTAACTGTTTATTTCCTTGCCATGGCTTATAAGTTTCTATCACAAATCTTTTCTGAGGCTAGAATAGCTATTTAGTTTTGAAACTGCACTGCACCCAAATTCTACTTCAGATATTAAGCACTGGCTTCACTGTTTGGGGTACATATAAATTATATTGTACTATAATAACTTTTTTGATAGTTATTAAATATTTTTCAAGTCTTCACCAAGACCCAAAATAACAATTCAAATGAAGTGACATTATATTCAAAATAGTCCACTCTTTATCAGAACCTCCATTCTAAAACAGAACTGTATTTGTTTTCTATGCCACAATTAACATTTTTAAAAAATTTTTTAAAATCAACTAGGAAAAAGTAAGACTATATTCTTACATAAATGAAAATTCCTCTTGAATGATTTTTTCAAAGAATTACAGAATTCTAATACATGCAGGTAAATCATAAATCTGTTCTCTCTAGGACACTATGGTCAACAGATGAGAACTGGTAGGTAATATTGGACAGCATGATTAGCCATAATCACTAATGTGTTAACACAATAGAGTCTAAGCTTAATTTAAGGCACTGTAGTTGATTATCTGAGCTACTGTACATAACCTGCCATATTATACCTTAGAAATCATGAAATCTTAAAATTTAGAATGATTTCATAGTGTCTTCTATTCCAACCTCATAGCCAATATAGGAAAGGAATAAAAGATTTCCAATGACAGAAAAATCTATTATTTCAAGCATCAAAAAAAAAAAAAAAAATTGAACTCTAAATATTAACTACTTCTGATTACATTTTGAAATGAACTTTTTGTCCCGTCTATTGTTTAAAATAGGACACAACTATTTTCTATTCTACCAACCAGATGGTAACCCATTGCTATCGAGTCGATTTCGACTCACAGCAATCCTATAGGACAGAGTAGAACTGCCTCATAGGGTTTCCAAGGCTGTAAATCTTTACGGATGCAGACTGCCACATCTTTCTCCCACGGAGAGCTTGGAGGGTTCCAACTGCCGACCTCTTTGGTTAGCAGCAGAGAGCTTTAACCACTGCACAACCAGGGCTCCAACCAGATAGCAAACACCTCTCTTGAGCTAAATTGTAGACCCAGCAATGCTAATCTGTAATTATTTTCTTGCTGAGGATTTTTTCAATTTCCTCTCTCATTATTTTAAAATATTTTCCAACAACTCATATAACAGGCGTTAAGTAAAAATTGGTCTTGGAAAATTCACCAAAATTTAGTTGACTCAGTTTACAATTAAGACTAAAACTGTTTACCCCTATACTACATAATCCAACAATCTTTAACTTCAAGACATGTTAACTAATACAGCATTAAAGAATTAGAGAATGTGTAATTTACCACGTGATTTTCTAAAATATGGTTACTAAAAGAATTTGAAACATCAATATTGATCTCGGTTTCCAACACAAATGCTGCTAACAGAGAATAATGAAGGAGACACTGCTTTTAAATTCCCTACAGCCAGGAGATGGGAAAGGTGGTAATTTTGGCTCACTGATGTTGAGGAATAGAGAGAAAAAGGTTTTTTGTTTCCAGCAAAGCCTCACCTGCTTGTAGGAGACTCCTAATTAAAACTACTATGTGTGTTAAATAATAGGTCAGACACTCACCTCACTGGTCTCAGCAACCATCCATGCAAAAAGTAACTAAGTTCTATAACAGCTGCACTGATCTTAAAAATCAGTAGGACATAAGAAGTAGTTCGATTCCTTATTACATTGTTCATTACAACATCAATTTCAAATTATTAACTGTGAAGTTATGGGTTTTTCCTCAGTATACTGAAATAATTATTTTTTTGTTTTTCATTCTGCCTTTGATAAAAATTAAAATCTTATACTTTGAGAATTACAGAATACTATTATTCAGATTACAATGCTGAACAAAACCCCATTCTTTAAATGGAACTTATTCATTCTGTTTATCATGATGTATAAAGAGTAAGATACAATAAAAAGTGTATTTAAAGAACTTTAACTACCAAAAGCTCAAATAATTTCTACCTTAGAATAAGTTCTAATCTTAATTTACAGAGTATTAAGAAAGAACTAATTTTTAAATGTTTCATGTTGCCTTTTATACTTTACTTGGTTAAAAACGATTACTTGTTTAATGCAAAAAACAATCAGGATCACCCATATGAAAATGAATGTCCTGAAACACAATGAAATCGTTCTGTAATACACTCATACTGTTGTTATGAATATATAACAATCTAATTATAAGTAGTGTCTGGTCATCTAGTACTGCTCTAACAGAAATACCACAAGTGGACAGCTTCAACAAAGAGAAATTTATTCTCTCACAGTCTGGTAGGTTACAAATCCAAATTCAGAGTGTCAGCTCCAGGGGAAGGATTTCTTTGTTGGCGCTGGAGGAAGGTCCTTGTCATCAGTCTTCCCTTGTTCTGGGAACATCTCAGTGCAGGAATCTCAGATCCAAAGGATGTGCTCTGCTCCCAGCACTGCTTTCTTGATGGTATGAGGTCCTCAATTCTCTGCTTGTTTCCTTTTATCCCTTGTAAGATAAAAGGCTGTGGAAGCCATACCCCAGGGAAACTCCCTTTACACTGGATCAGGGATGTGACCTTAGTAAGGGTGCTACAATCCCACCCTAATCCTCTTTAACATAAAATTACAACCACAAAATGGAGGACAACCACTCAATACTTGCAATCATGGCCCAGCCAAATTGATACACACATTTTTGGGGGGACATAATTCAATCCATGACAAGCAGTTTTGATTTTATAAGTTGTTTTTGGTTACTTTTCCCAAAAAAAAATCTCAATTTCCTAGTACAGACACAAGAGGGCAGACCTACACAAAATAATGAATTTGTTACTAACTAGAGATTATTTATCCTTGATTATTTTTTAGTTTTCTGGCAAAGTGACAGTGATTAAAAAAAAACAAAAACAAAAAAACAGACCCACTGCTGTCAGGTCGAGTCAATTTTGACTCACAGCGACCCGACAGAACAGAGCAGAACTGCCCCATAGGGCTTCCAAGGGGCACCTGGTGGATGTGAACTGCTGACCTTTGGGTTTGGCAGCTGAACTCTATTCAAAAAAGATCTGTTCTACTAAGTAACAGCATATTTTAAAATGTCTAGAAATTACATGCCAATACTAAGCAGAAACGTTCACAAAAGCTATAAAGATGAAAAAAAGTCACACCTTCTTACTAATTTTATTTATTAAAACATGTAGACAAAATCAATCATAAGCTTTTCAGCCACCTATTCAGTGCGTCATGATGTCATATCCTATCTATTGAGAATATCATAGTGTCCACACATTTCAAGGTACAACAGTTGGAAGATTACCTCAAAGAATAAACACATTAAAGACACACAGGGTACAAAAATAAGCAAAGAAAACTGTTTCATATCAGAGGATGTAATAGAATACATAAAATACTCCCAAAGTTAGAAATAAAACCTTTTCATTCTAATTTCATGTTAAATAAAAACCCAGTCATTTAAGTCATTTTATCAAATTTCTGATTTATGTAAGAGGAATTTTCCAGTAACATATGCTAAAATTATTAGATGCCAAGCCCCTCCATGATTTCAAGGCACAAAGTTGTATCTTCCTCTTTTTAATGACTATAACTCAGATCTTAAAAACATCCTAGGGATTAGAAAAGAGGATAAACAAGCAAACAATGAGAGAAGGAGTACTCAAATTAGCACTTATTCCTTTAAATTTGCCCAGTTTTCTGGGTTACTTTTCTCTCTACCATACCTACTTCAGGTTACAGTAGAATAGTGGGACATAATGGATAGCTTTAAGTCTGTGTAAAGACACCAGCTGGAGACAAAAACTGTCTTATCCCTGTTCTTCTATAGTCACAAGCATTTGAGAATCAAAATGTGATAGCATTTGAAAATTGTTTCCTATCTTTCAGTCACCTGAATTGATAACTCACAAATTAGTCTGATTAAATTGCTTATTTCTGATTTTCAAGTAATGATGCTTCTGTTTCTATGTGGTTTAAAGAGATATATAAAGATTTTAAGAACTGTGTCCAAAATAAGAGCAAGCGCGGCACAGGGGACGTGTTGAGGGTTCTCCTACGAATGTAGCACATCAGGTTGTATCTTTTGGGGCTGTACTCAGATTCATGAGGTTCCTACATAAGCGATCTCCTTATCCTTTCATGGACTATATTCCTTTTAAATATTCTCTACTATTTTTTACATTTATGAATATTGATTTTAAATTTTTACTCTAGGGAAATTTTGCAATTTTTGGTAGAAATAATTTATTTCAGAAAATTCTATTAGTAAAAAAACAAAAGGTGGGATTTATTAATTCTGTAGATACTTAGTTTCCCAAGTAAAATAAGTTGGAGGAAAACAGCTTGAAAAAGAAACATTTCCAGATCAAGAAATTTACACCTTTATATGTTAGTCCCTAGACCCACCCATTAGAAGCTATATACTTTTCTTTACACATATTATCATAAAATGTTTTCCTTAAATGATTAACCACAAAATCTCAACCCAATTTAATTTTTTTAAATAAGCACATCTGTTCCATTCTATACATAGCAACCATTACCAAAACTTTACAAATGACTTTAGTTTCACCTTCTCATTTTATAGATGAAGAAACTGAGGCCAGAGAAATCAAGCAATAGATCCTGGATCTGACAGAAGCAGAAATAATATTTAAGACCTTTTACTCCCAAAGTAATATTTCTATTATACCATGACAATATCTTTGTTTCTGTTTTCAATTTCTTTAGATCAAATGGTTTTGTTTATTTTTATGCCCATTTAACAAATGAGAAAAAAAAAGTAAAGACCGAGTTAGGTAGAAGATTTTAAGTTTTTTATGTTAGTCTCAAATGCTTTGTAAATTTTATTTATTAACTCATTACTTTTCAAATCTATAACATCTATGCTTATTAACTTGGAGAGGAAAGAAAACAGCAAACGGAAAGCAAAAACGAAACAGTAATATGCTTACTGCAAGTTTTTGTACTTTTAACAGCCACTAGAGGGAAGCAGACACTAGATTTTGAGCCTTACCTGCACTGGTGTCTCACTTCCTTGTCTAAATGCTTCAATTT